CCCCCCCCCCCCCCCCCCCCCCCGCCCCCCCCCCCCCCCCCCCCCCCCCCCCCCCCCGTGTGGGGAGGTGCAGGTCTCACGTGCGCAGGCGATAATGATTGGCAGGGTCTGGATCGGTTACGCGTCATTCCTCTCGGAGTCGGAAGCATCCTTCAACTTAATTCCTACGATGCACACGACCATCTCCGGGCTTGGTGCTTCACTTCTACGCTTCTTACTTCCCCCTACTACTTTTAATGTCTAGTTAACTTCTGCACACGTCTCTTGGCCTGTCGCCTCCGCATGCTTGGCAAACCTCCTCCGCCGCAGCGTTAGGCGCACTATCTGCAATGTCGACCGTCTTCGCCTCCCTGGTACGCCCACCCAAGCTGCGACGCGCTTCCGCAGCTACGCAGCCCGCGGCCCAGCCTCCGCCCTCGATCGACAGTCATGGTCTCGACGAGCCCGACCTGCGCGACCTCAATGCCGCCCTGCAAGCGCTTACGGATATCTTCCCCGACCTGCAACCCGAGGTTTTCCGAGAGATGCTGTCTACTTTTAGCGAAGAGAGCAGGCTGCAAGTCGTCACCGAGACGCTCTTGAAGCATGGCGACAAGTACGTGCGGGGCCGGTACAGGAAGCCTGCTGAGCAGGAAGAGCAGCGGGAGACGGCGCAGAAGTACAAATACCGCAAAGAAGACGCACCGAGGGATACTCGAGGCATACCCCTTGCGCTGGAAGAGAAGTTCCGGTCACGACGGTATAAGGAGGCTGCCAAAGAAGCGCTGTATCAGGAATTCAAAGGCCTGAGCCACTCGACCATCAAGGCTGTGCTGGCTGAATACAACTACAGCTATACGCATGCACGACCGACGCTATTGGATCTGTCAACTAGAAGCTGGAGGTCCAGCATCACCAACTTCCTGATGCGCCGGAAGGCGCCGACGGCCAGTGATCACCCCCTGGTCATATGGACTCCCGCCGACGAACGCCTGAACCGTCCGTCTATGCCACTTCTCGTAAAGACTCGAAGCGACGAGCTGAACCAGGAGCTGTACAACGCACTCATTGTACCGGAACATGAGAAACACCGGAACGCGCAATTGCGACAGGACTATGACTTGGCCATGCAATGGAACGAAGAGGAGGCCGAGCGTGAAGGCGAAATGTACGACTGCGAATGCTGCTTCATACCCAACACGCTTCAGCAGATGTCGACCTGCGATATCGATGGCCACTACATCTGCTTCCGTTGCATACGGCATGCTATCAACGCTGCCCTCTACGACCAGGGCTGGGCGCGTAACATCAACACGGACCTGTGTACCCTGAAATGCATAGCGCCTATGACCGGTGGCTCCGAAGAGTGTCGTGGCTGCATACCCTTCTCGTTTGTGAAGCGCGCTCTTCTGGAAGAGCAAGATGGAAAGGACAACCTGAACAAACTCAACGAGCGCTTCGCTAGCGATGCACTGACCAGATCTCAGCTACCACTCGTACAGTGTCCCTTCTGCTCGTATGCGGAGTTGGATGACCTCGCGCTTCCAGATACCAACCTCTTCGCCAGCCTACGTTTCAAATCCCGCCCACTCATACTGGCTTCGCTGGCATCGGTGCCTTTGTTCGAGTTACTGTGCTTCCAAGCCACGCGAGCCTTACTTTTCGCATTTATTTTTATCTACACCTTCATCACCATCACATTTCGCCTGCCCGTCATCGCACCCTTTCGATCCGCCCTCAGGCGTGTCCACCTAAAGCGTCGCGGCCTTCGGTTCCAGTGTCTCTCCCCAAGCTGCGGTCGCGCATCCTGCCTCTCGTGCTCCCTTCCCTGGCATGACCCCCACACATGTTTCTCTTCCCAACTCACGTCCCTTCGTCTCACACTCGAACGTGCTACCACAGACGCAGTCAAGCGTACCTGTCCTCAATGCAACCTAGGCTTTGTAAAATCCGAGGGCTGCAATAAGCTCGTTTGTCTTTGTGGGTACAGCATGTGCTACATCTGCCGACAGGGTCTTGCGAATGAGGGCTATCAACACTTCTGTGGACACTTCCGCGAACGGCCCGGACAGCCATGCGGCGAGTGCAACAAATGTGATCTATACCGCGTAGAGGACGAAGAGAGGGTGGTCAAGAGGGCCAAAGATAGGGCCGAAGCAGAGTGGTGGGAGGCGCAGGGCGATGGTGCGAAAGAAGGACTGCAGAAAGAGGTTGGGAAGAACGAGGGCTCTGCGGCGAAAGGGGTTGCGGGGCTGAAGAGGGGAAATTGGGAAGCCTGGATCGAAGGCGTACTGGATAGTGTGCTTGTTTAATTATTTGCTGTTGGCGTTCGGATGTGGCCACAGACCGTCAGAAAGATTGATACCCAGAATTGATATTGTACAGCGTCCCTCGTGGACGCCATCTTACTTGCAACTCTTTTGATCAGTCCCCGTGATGGCTGTTCTATCGGTAGTGAGATATCCTTCAAGTGACATTACAATTTTCGATATTTGACGTACACATTCTTTGTGCAAGACATGATACATTTATCCCCAGCTCTTCCGGCGGAACGCCTGGCATATACGCGAGAATGGATACTGCATCGATCTTTCTCCCGGGGTCCAGGGTCTACAGAAATGTAGAGCGTTCGTGACAGAGGAAGTGGTGAAGATAAGTGCATTCTAGCGTACACTTCCGTTCTGCAGGGCTTATTTCCGAGATATCGCTCTTACCTTTTGCAGTTGCTAAACATACAAAGTCCATAGGCGCTCACGACGTTGGCTACCGTTGTACCCCTCATCAGGGACCAACACACCACCTTCCTAACGTCACCTAGCGCCCCGCAAGCGAACGGGGAGCGTTATCAGCCGCGATACTATCTCCACTGACATCATCACGTCTACACATTAGCAATCTGCTATCACACGCTGCACTCTTGGCTATTCCTCGGAAGAAAGATCTCACTGTGTCGCCTACGATGCAGGCTAGAGATCTGGGACCTATCGCGCGTTCATCGGCTTGTCGCTACAGGGTTCATGATAAGGGATGCTGGTCGGAAGAAACGATGTTTGGCTGCCATTGAGGACGCAGAAGCGATCTTCGATAGATGCTCCTTGATAGGTAATGCTGTATGCCGGGTATGAGGTCGGCATGCATGTGAGGGGCGACACGGCAATGCAGATGTTGGGATGGTAGGGTACTGGGTTCGTTACATATACCATGTCGCACCACATGCTACATGGAAACCAATCGAGAACAATAACTGCTTTACCTGTCCTCGTCTCTATATCGGCAAGATGAGTATCCCGGAGAAAGAGATAGCCCACGAGTCGAAATCGGGCGACACTTCTCCTTCGCGACCGCATTCGGACGTCGAGATTGGTACCATCGAGGAGCCATCCAACAACGGCGATGAAGCACTCAAGTTTCTTAAAAATGCACACAATGTCGGTGCTCTCACGCCAGAAGATGAGCGAAGACTGGTTCGAAAGATTGACTGGATGATCATGCCACTCATGTGGTGTTGTTACTGTTTGCAGTATCTGGACAAAACACTGGGTATGTCAGCTCTTTGCATTGCTGCATCACTACTCTGCAACCGAACATACTGACAGTTCATACTAGTGAACTACGCGGCGGTGATGGGTCTCTACGAGGACGCGAACATCAACACGGCACAATTCTCCAACCTCGCTCTCTTCTTTTACGTATCTTACCTCGCGCTCGAGTTCCCTCATGGCTACGGCATGCAGCGTCTGCCTACTGCAAAGTACCTCGGTGCAGCCGTGATACTCTGGGGTCTCGTCACGGCACTCACATGTGTGTGTAAGAACTACGGCGCTCTAGTAGCTACACGCGTCCTATTGGGTTGCTTCGAGTCGGCCGTCGCGCCCAGTTTGATCCTGATAACTTCGATGTGGTATAAGAAGAAAGAACAACCGCTGCGAACCGGTATCTGGTATCTCGGAGTTGGTAAGTCCTGGCTGTACGAAATTCATCTGAGACATATACTGACTTCGTACCTCTACCCCTGCAGGAACAGGAACGATCATTGGAAGTCTGATCAGTTTCGGGTTTCAGCACTACGACAGTGCCACGTTTACTAGCTGGCAGATCATGTTCTTGGTCGTGGGCTTGGTTACTGTCTCAGTCGGTATAACTGGTATGTGAATCACTACAACGGGTTTTCGAAAAGGTGCTGACTTAGGTAGTGGTGTTGCTTCTTCCCGACAACCCCATGTCCTCTCGCCTAACCCCAGCAGAGAAGGTATGGGCCATCGAACGCCTACGTGAGAACCAAACCGGCATCGAGAACACGCATTTTAAGTTTCACCAAGTGCTCGACTGTTTCAAAGACCCGCAGACATGGATGTTATCGATCATCACCATATCATCCAATGTACCCAACGGTGCAGTGTCTTCCTACCAGGCCACACTCATCAAGTCATTCGGCTTCAGCTCCAAAACTACAGCTTTGCTACAACTACCTTCGGGTGCCGTCAGCGTCATCTCCATTCTCATCGCTACATACCTCGCCGGTCGTTTCAACCAACGCGCACTAAATGTTGTCTCCTTGCTTATACCTGGCGCGCTGGGAGGCTGCCTCATGGCTTTCCTTCCCGGTGAGTCCAGAGTAGGGAAGCTTATTGGGAACTACCTTACCAACTGCATTGGCTCCAGCTTACCGCTCCTCTACTCCTGGGTGTCTGCGAACATTGCCGGTCACACGAAAAAAGTAACCATGAACGCTATTTTGCTCATGTCTTTCTGCTTGGGAAATATTATCGGACCGTTGACATTCCGCCAAGGCGATGGGCCTGACTTCATACCAGCCAAGGTCACCATTGTAGTGACTTGCGCATTCGCAGCAGCCATGGCGCTGGTATTGAGAGCCTACTACATGTGGGAGAATAAGAAGAGGGATCGAGAGGACGACGGGACGCATCTTGAGAACGAGGAGTTCCTTGACTTGACAGATCGCGAGAATAGGCGGTTTAGATATAGGTTGTAGGAAGGGCAAAGGATAGGTAGCCCAATGGGAAAGCACGAGGCGGTTCAGTACGAGCCTCCTTCTCACACTCAAATCATCGACCATACTGGATTGAACTTCATCGGATGCAAGAAACTTATAAGTTAATCAACGCTAATTTACATGCTACAGTCCACACCACCCTAAGGGGTACCGGCACTTCCTCGCAGCTCACTAATGATGATATCCGCCGCCTTCTCACCAATGACAAGTGCCGTGTTATTCGTGTTACCACCTACATTCTCCGGAGGGATACTGAGATCCGCAATCTTCAACCCCTTAACGCCGTGCACGTTCAAGGAGGAATCAACAACACCATCCTCCTCCCTTGGTGCCATCTTGCACGTGCCAAGTGAGTGCCACGTTGTGTTGACGTTCTCTCGTAGCCACTGCTCGATGGCAGCGTCATCTTCCTTGCTGTAGACCAAGTCCTTGACGTTTTCCAAAGGCCCTTCGACATTCTCTTGTAGGGCGACCGCGGAATCGGCAGCGAACTTTGGATGGCCCGCAGCCAATTCGCCACGGTAGAACTGCGTACGTCGCAAGATCTCGCGTTGCTTCTTGTACGCCCAGATCTGCTTCTTGAGGTCGATGTCGTCTTTGTCGTTGAAGAAGCCTACGTCAAAGTCTAGTGGATCATCGTGCTTCGGGCCGGTGATGTGCATGTGTCCGCGCGAGTAGGGGTACGCGGTGTAGTTGCCTGCTGTGACGTACTGGCCCGCAGGTATGCTTGCTGGGTCGCCCAAGAAGCAAGACACCAGACCACACAGCATCAACGGACGGTTTGGCGCATCCTTGAAGTCGCGGTTCCACGCTTCTTGGAACTCTGGTCCGAGGGAAGTGACCTCTTCTTCAGTAGGGCGAAGCTTTGAGGATATGTCGATACCGTTCCAGCCTAGCATAGGGTCTTTGTTCTTCATCATCTCGGCAACGTCGGCACGTCCGCTGAGGATGCCATCGATTGTTTGGTCGGGCGCTAGGGCAGTCTTGTAGGGGTAGAGAAGGAGGTGGTGGTCTTGGTAGTCCTTTCCTACACCAGGTAACTCTTCCACAAGAGGTACACCGGCACGTTCGAGTATCTCCTTGGAGCCCAGGCCCGAACGTTCGAGAATGGGCGGTGTACCGCAAGCACCGGATGTAACGACGACCAACTTGCGAGCCTTCACAGCCTTCACTGGATGCATACTCAAACCGATTTCAGCTTGGAACTCTGGATTCGGTGTGTATTCGACACCAGTGGCACGCTTGTTCTCGTCGAACAGTACGCGCACCACCTTCGATTCGACGAGAACGTGAAGGTTGGAATACCGCTCATCTTCGAGCTTCGGGTGGAGGTATGTGTGTGCGGTATCTTGGCGCTTGCCCTCTGGTGAGACGTAGCGTTGCCATCGCGCAATACCGTTGTTGTCGTCCAGGTTCTGCAAATCTTCGATCTCAGGGTAGCCGACCTTCTCAGCTGCGCTTATAAAGTCGTCTTCAGCAGCCTTTGCGCGATAACCTCCGTCTGAGACATGGATTGGTCCGCTGTGGCCGTGGTGCTCTTTCGCTCCGGGCCCATGGTAGGTCTCTAGCTTCTTTAGGTGGGGCCACATCTCCTCAGCTGACCAGCCAGGTGTGTTCCAGCTATCGAAGTCCGATCTTTGTGCTCGTGTGTACATCATGAAGTTGATTGAACTGCCTCCGCCCAAGGTACCACCACAAGGTACAATGGGTTCACGATCGGCTAGCTGCTTCGACTTGTTTCCTTTGTAGAAGAGAGCGGTCTTGGTGGCAGGCAGTAGGTTCTGCAGGTAGAAAACGGGGTTGACAACGCTGGCGACATCTTTGTTGTTCGCGCCCCCTTCGATTACAAGAATAGAGAGGGAGGGGTCATCTTCAGCAAGTCGACCGGCTATGATACAACCCGCTGTACCGCCTACACAAAGATGTCAGTGGGGGATTCGATGAGGGTGAATATGATAGACATACCTCCAGCGATGATGACATCTACCTCATTAATGTCGTCTGCAAGCTTGTTGTATATACCCATGATGAAATTCTGTTATGATCTGGGCACTCTGAGAAGATGTTCGGATACCAGATGACAAGACAACTGTCAAGAGTCAGATTTGGGAGTCCAGCAATCCGTTTAAGTAAATGTTCAGTATTTCTTTGCCCCTCGCAAATAAAGTTCGGCCACTTACAGCCCATCGCAGACCATTTATCAGATGCCATAGGTTTTTTGTGAACTTGAGTACCGCACTACCCCATCTTCTGCTCTTTTCGGCTTGGCGCCGGTGATACTAGCGGACCCTTTCCGCG